CGAAGGAAAGCTGTGGGGGGGGGGGTTAACTGCCTCTGGCCAAGGAGATACCTGCTGAGCTGGATTCTAAGAAATAAGTCCAGGCCCCACTGCTTGGCTCAGTGGATGGAGCATCAGACCAGAGGGTCCTGGGTTCGATTCCAGTCAAAGACTCCTCCCCAGCCCCGGACCTGGTCAGGGCGCATGCGGGAGGCAGCCAGACGATGTCTTTATCTCACCTCGATATTTCTCTCTGTCTGTCCCTCTCCCTTCCATGCTCTCTAAAATCAGTGGGAAAGTATTCTCAGGTGAGAATTAAAAAAAGAAAGAAGTCGGCTGAAACCGGTTTGGCTCAGTGGATAGAGCGTCGGCCTGTGGACTGAAAGGTCCCAGGTTCGATTCCGGTCAAGGGCATGTACCTGGGTTGCGGGCACGTCCTCAGTGGGGGATGTGCAGGAGGCAGCTGGTCGATGTTTCTCTCTCATCGATGTTTCTAACTCTCTGTCTCTCTCCCTTCCTCTCTGTGAAAAATCAATAAAATATATTAAAAAAAAAAAAAAGAAAGAAAGAAGTCCAGGAAGGGAATTCCAGGCAGCAGGGAATGGCACGTTTGCACTGTAAGAGGTATTCTGAAAGGGGAGTAGAAAGGGCTGGGGAGAGGGAAGTAGTCGCCCAATGAATATGGGCTGATGTGGCATTTTGGGCCTGGGGACTCCTCTCGCTTCATCCCCCTTACCTCATCGTGTGAGGCAGAGGGGCCCCGGGCTGCAGTGACTTACCCCAGCTCAGAGCAGGTTCCCTGCCCCCAGGTATGACAGTCCTGACAGCTTTTGTAAAGTTTTAGTTTTTTGGGTTCTTTTTAAAAATTGATTTCAGAGAGGGGGACAGAGAGAAATACCAATGATGGGAGGAAATCGATCGGCTGCCTCCTGCACAGCCCCACTGGGGATCAATACCATATCCCGGGCATGTGCCTTGACTGGGAATGGAACCATGATTTCTTAGTCCATAGGTCCATGCTCAACACTCAGCCACACCAGTCGGGCCATGTCAGCTTTTTAATAACATAGGATTTGACTGGCCTCGGGTGGCCTGGAGTCCTCTGGGTCTGCTGGGGCGCGTGCTGTCACCTGACCTCAGGATGGGTGCCAGGCGCTGGGGACAAGTCTGGGTCGCCTCTGCCCTCCAGCACCTGGCACAGCCCTGACAGGTGGCTGTGTGGCAGTGATCTCGGAGGCCAGGAAGGCCGGCCGGCCGCAGGGCTGAGTGGGCCCATTTCAAAGCTCGCTGGGCTGGGGGAGGGCATTTACACCCCATCTGGGGGCAGGAACTGGTGGAGAAATCGCAGGTGCTTCTTGGTGGCGGTGGCTGTGGCGAGAGCACTGTAACTTGAGAGCTTGTGCAAGTCACTTCTCCAGCCCTGGGCTTCCTCTTCTGTAAAAGAGGGAAGCGGCAAGAATCTAACAAGCTCCCTTCACAAAGACGCCAGCCTCCAGCCGCCGCCCCCCCTCCCCCGGCCACTCCCTGGGCCTGTGTGGCCCTCGCTGGTGCTAGATGGGCTGCTCATCTCCTTAGCAACCAAGGGAATTTACAAACGGGAATGTATAGTGGCTTTAGTCTTTCAGGGGTGTTTGCATTTTCAAAGAGAAAGAGTAAAGCTGAAGAATCTTAAGAAAAACGATGTAATGGTGAAATGTTGTGCTCTCTGAGTTTACAGAGCCAAATACTGGCATGAGCCCTGCCCGTGTGGCTCAGTGGCTAGAGCATCAGCCTGCGGACTCAAAGGTCCCAGGTTCGATTCCGGTCATGGGCATGTACCTTGGTTGCGGGCACATCCCCAGTAGGAAGTGTGCAGGAGGCAAAAAAAAGGCATCACTTCGGGGAGAAGGTGGCACTCAGAATGCCCCTAAAACTAGTTAGGATTTCAGGGGTTGGATTTCTTTCCATTTCCCACTCCCACCCTCCACCCCCCTAAGAAACAAAGCTAGTCCATCTCCAGGCAAATACACAGTCAGTCCTAGATGGGACCCTAATCTAGCCCCAGTCAATTAGCTCCCTGAGCACAACCAGGGTGCTCCCTGCAGCTGGCCAGGTGGGTGCAGTCCCTTCCTTCAGTCCCCGAGCTTCAGGGTCGGAAGGGACGCGGGTGAGACAACATCTGCTTCTTGCCATCCTGCCGCCAGCCCACAAGGACTTCCGGACAGTTACCCCAAAGCTCAGGCTGCCAGACCCATCTGCAGCCCTGGTGGCTGATGGCTTAGCCCTCGTAAGTGTGGCCCCGAAGGAAAGGAGAGAGGAAGAGAAGGGGAGAACCGGGGTGAGCTCAGTGTGGTCTCCCACTCTCATCCTAGGGCTTAGGTTGCAGGTTTGAGCCTACTTCTCATCGCCCCAGGGGCACCAGGAGGGCTCCGTCAGTTCTGAGGAGAAAGTGTATCCTCTGGTAAGAGCACACCCATGCAGCAGACACGGCACCCACACGGCTAGCGGGCCCACCATGAGCAGTGTCATTGGTCGATGTCAAGGACGAGGAGTAGAGAGGCAGAAGACCTGGTTCCTGGTCCATCTTCATTAGCTAAGGGTCCCTGGACAAGTGATTTAATCCAAGTCTCAGCGTTCCCATCTGCAAAATGGGTTGCCATGAGGAATAACGCAGGATTATCATGGACTCCCTTGAGATAATAAACAGGAAGCATTTGTAAGATATAAAACACGACCTAGATATTGCACCAGATACACATTTCCTAGTTGACATACACCTAGGACTCACCCTCCCCTGCCACAGACTCCCTACAGCTCACTGACTTCTTGTCCAGTGCGTTGAAGACCCCTCACAGACCATGGTATCAAGCCCAGACCCACACACATGTACACACTGCATACTGTATAAATATAGGTTTTATTAATAATGGTGAAATCCCACAAATCAACTGGCATCCTGTGTGATGGGGAGAACCGGTGGCAGGTGAGAGAAGGTGGAGTGGTGTATGCACAGTAATAAGAGGGAAAGAACAGCCAGGCCGGGATGGCTCAGGGGTGAGCATCCACCTGTAAACAGGGCACATGCCTGGGCTGCGGGCTCCATCCCCAATGGGGCGTGTGCAGGAGGCAGCCAATTAGTGATTCTCATTACTGCTGTTTCTATCTTTCTCTCCCTCTCCCTCCCTCTCTGAAATAAATAAAAATATTTTTTTTAAAAAAAAAGAAAAAAAAGAGTCGTAGGGAAGAAAAATCAGACATGGAATGAGCCTGGACCCACCAGAAAAGCCAGACACGCTCCAGGTGTGGTGTCTGACCCCTGGAGCTCAGGGTGTGTCTGGGGGTAGAGAGATGGCAAGAGTGTGAGTGAGCAGCACGTGCTGGGGAGGGAACGGAGGAGTGAGGAAGCCAGCGTGGCACCCAGGGCCCCGGGTGGCGTGGCCAAGGCCGATGGGCCCTGCTTGTGCTTGTGTCAGGCCCTGAACTCCAGGGGACGAGTGCCCTGTGTCCCCCCTGGCTCGGGAGGAAGGGAAGCCTGGGGGGTAGAACCTACAGACCCGAAGATGCCCTGGACAACATCGCCTCATCCTTCCTGTCAGAGCAGGACCCTGGGAGGAGGGTGGCGCTGCCCTCCCTGCAGCAGCCGCCAGCACCAGGCCACCGTCACGGTTCCTCTGAGCCCCCACGGACAGCAGGTGTGAGGGCTCAGAGGCCTGGTCATGGGTCTGTGCCTGGACTCCTGAGAGGCGGGCATGCAGGCCCGCGGGGGAGCAGAGGAGGGAGGCCTGGGCTTCTCCCACTCATCCCGGAGTGGAGTGCATTCTGCAGTCCGGGCAGCGAGCGAGAGAGACGTTATTGCAGAGATGCCACCAGGCCCTGCCTGGCCAGAGGGGCGGGAAGGGGAAAGGGGATCCCAGGGCCCCACGTGGCTCCCATCCCCTGGACTAGGAGGGTGGTGCAGACAGAAACCCAGCTTCCGTCCAGCAGATTGTCCCATCAGCGGGGGCGGGGGGGGTGTTGGGGGGTGTGTTGCGGGGGGAAGAGTCTGCCAGAGCCCTTCCTACCCATTCTAACGTCCACACGGGACTTCCAGGGACTCTGTCAGGGCCCAGCCCTGGACCTCCACTTTGTAACAGCTGTTTACACTTGTGTGGTTGGGACCCCCAGAGGGGGCCACTTTGGTCAGTTGTAAGTGGGGCGCGGAGAACCTGGGGCTCCCAAGCAGACAACAGAGGGGTGCTAGGGCCGAGGGAGCATGATGGCCCCCATGGTCTTTGCATGCAGGCATTGAAGAGAGAAGGGGGGAAGCTACAAACCACATCACCCTGGAAGACCCCTGGGCACAGTGTGGAGGGCTGCAGCCGCGCTGCAGGCCACAGCCTGGGGGGAGTGGACAGAGGGCAGGGCAGCTGGGCCAGCACCCAGGGTCCAAGTCCACAGGTTAAAACAGTCCCAAAGGGCTGGATCCAGGCTGCCTGCTGCGGGGGCTGGGCACAGACGGGGCCAGGCTCTATCTCTCCGACTTGACCCGGTACCTGAGCACGAGGTATGCCAGCAGCCGCAGGGCCAGAAAGAAGATGCCCAAGACCAGGAAGTCCACGTAGAGCTTGGCGTCCTCCACATCCAGCGCGCGGAGGATGCTCTGTGGCTCCCGGAATGGGCAGCGCTCCTCCCGGAACGGGCAGGCCAGGTCCCCGCGCCCCAGGCCGTACACAGTCAGGATCACACCCTCAAAGCCATACCTAGGCGAGCAGGGGTGTCAGAAAGGGACTGTGAAGGTCACTGCCCATCAGAGCAGGGGGCAGAGTGGAGGTCACTGCCCATCAGAGCAGGGGGCAGAGTGGAGGTCACTGCCCATCAGAACGGGGGACAGAGTGGAGGTCACTGCCCATGATATCAGGAGACAGAGTGGAGGTCGCTGCCCATCAGAGCAGGGGCAGCGTGGAGGTCACTGCTCCCCGGGCAGATGGAACTCTGCCCCCCGGGCTGGCCACGGGCGGGAGCACTGGGCCGATGGCCTGGGAGGCCGGGGCCACACTGACCTGACGTAGGAGAGGTAGGAGCTCCACTGCAAGTAGGTGGGGATGGTCTTGAAGCTGACAAAGAAGCCGGAGAACAGGAGCACAGGAATGGCGGTCACCGGGCCCACAAACGTGGCCACCTGGAGGGGCGGGAGGGGCCGGGCCATCACAGGGTGGCCAGCCGGTTTCCTGCAGGGCTCCCACTCCTGTGCCGCCTGTCTCCTCCCCTCAGGGCCCCCAGGGCCAGCTTTCCCACCTGCAGGGAGTTGGAGGCAGCTCCAATGAGCAGCCCCAGGGACTGGGCCACCAACGCCGTGGCCGTGGCCAGGGCCGAGAAGAGGAGGAAGCGGCTGGTCTCCGCGGGCTGGCCTGTCATCCAGTACACGATGCTGCAGTACACGGCAGGGCACACCACCTGGGGGGGCACAGGCGGGCGGGGGGGCTGGGGCACAGCAGCCAGCCCTCTGCTTCGTCCAGGCAGGAACCCCTAGAGCAGCTTTTCCTAGGATGCTCAGGCCCAGTCCTGCCCTCACACTCCCGTTCACGCTGTCCGTCACGTGTCCTCCTCCCTGGCCATGTGACCCTCATGCCTCGTCCAGGCGCACCGCCTCCTCGAGGCCCTCAGACCAGCGGAGGCAGAGCTTCCTCCCTGAGCTCCCACATCCCTCCCGCCCGACGCGCTTCTGCCTCACATTGTTAATTAGTTCATTCTACACGGGAGTTTTGCCCCCTATGAGTTACTAACTCCTGAAGGGCAAGGACTAAGCCTACTACATACAGTCATGCAGGCTGTTCCCTGCACAAGGACATCGATCAAGAGGCAGCACCCCTCCCCCCCGAAAAAAAAGAGGCAGCCGAAGGCACTGGGCCTAGCACAGCACCCACCCTGAGGAAGGTTGTTGTGAATCCTCACCTGAGGATATCTTTCCATTGATTTTTAGAGAGTGGAAGGGAGGGGGAGAGGCAGAGAAACATGGATGTGAGAGAGACACATCGACTGGTCACCTCCTGCATGGACCCCAACCAGGGCTGGGGAACCTGCAACCAAGGTATGAGCCCTTGACCGGAATCGAACCCAGGACCCTTTAATCCACAATGCTCTACCACTGAGCCACACCAGCCAGGGCAAGGGGCACCTTTTACTAATTTGCACAAAGGTGCCATATGGGTTTTTGGGGGTCCTAGTGCTTGAAGCAGGTGGTGGAGGCAACAAAGCCCCAAATAGCTAACAGTTATTGGACACTCGAGTGTGTACCATGCACCATTCTCAGTACTTGACATGTATTAACTCATTTAGTTCTCACAACTGTTCCCAAGCTTGATTCTGTCATCATCCCATTTCACAGATGGGACTCTGAGGCAGGGACATGTGGCGACCTGCCCAGTGTCTCACAGAGATCCCAGCAGCAGGGCTCCAGAGCCTTCACTGTCCTCTGCGTTTCAAGTAAGATTCACGGAGTCACCCTGGCCTGTGTTGCTCAGTGGACAGAGCATTGGCCTGTGGACTAAAGGGTCCCGGGTTTGATTCCGGCCAAGGGCACATGACCGGGTTGTGGGCTTGATCCCCAGTGAGGCCGGGGGGAGAGGGGGGCGTGCAGGATGCAGCTGATCAATGATTCCCTCTCATCAGAGATGTTTCTATCTCTCTCTCCCTTACCCTTCCTCTCTGAAATCAATAAAAAAATATAAAATAAAAAATTTAAAAAAGAAATATCCTATATAATAAAGCGGCAATATGCAAATTGACCCTCACACCCTCACACAAGATGGCTGTCCCATGTGGTCAAAGATGGCCATCAGGGGAAGGCAGTTGGGGGTGACCAGGCCGGCAGGGGAGGGAAGCTGGGGGTGACCGGGCCATCAGGGGAGGGCAGTTGGGAGTGACTGGTCTGGCAGGGGAGGGCAGTTGGGGGAAATCGAGCCAGAAGGGGAGCAGTTAGTCATCTATCAGGCTGGCAGGGGAGTGGTTAGGGGGTGATCAGGCTGGCAGGCAGGCAAGCCGTTGGGAGCCAACAGTCCCGGATTGTGAGGGGGCGCGTCCGACTGCTGGTTTAGGCCCAATCAGATCGGACCTAAACCAGCAGTCGCACATCCCCTGAGGGAGTCCCAGATTGGAGAGAGTGCAGGCTGGGCTTTCACTACTGGGTCCTGCCTGGCACAGAGCCTGGCACACAGCAGGTCCTCACCGCCAGTTTTTGAAGTGAGTAGAAGTAAAGGAAAAGATAATGGGTGAAGAGGGAGGGAGGCAAGCAAGCAAGGCTGGAAGGAGTGAGACAGGAGGGAAGGGGGGGCAGGTGGGAGGGAGAGGCTCACCTGGAAGGGCACATCGGCCATGGTCTTAGCCAGGTAATAGGCCTTGAGGCTGTACCAGTAGTTGAGATGCTCCCTCATGAAGACTGCCATCTCTAAGGGGACTGAGGGCACGCAGCCATCAGGCTCCCGCCCTGCCAGGACCCTGCCCCTGTCCAGCACCCCTCCCTTGCCCAGCACCCCACCCCTGCCCAGCCACTCCTGCCCCTGCCCAGCACCCCTGCCCCTGCCCAGCACCCCTCCCCTACCCAGCACCCTGCCCCTGCCCAGCCACCCCCTCCCCTGCCCAGCACCCTGCCCCGGCCCAGCACTCTGCCCCTGCCCAGCACCCTGCCCCTGCCCACCACCCCTCCCCTGCCCAGCACCCTGCCCCGGCCCAGCACTCTGCCCCTGCCCAGCACCCTGCCCCTGCCCACCACCCCTCCCCTGCCCAGCACCCTGCCCCGGCCCAGCACTCTGCCCCTGCCCAGCACCCTGCCCCTGCCCACCACCCCTCCCCTGCCCAGCACCCTGCCCCGGCCCAGCACTCTGCCCCTGCCCAGCACCCTGCCCCTGCCCACCACCCCTCCCCTGCCCAGCACCCTGCCCCGGCCCAGCACTCTGCCCCTGCCCAGCACCCTGCCCCTGCCCACCACCCCTCCCCTGCCCAGCACCCTGCCCCGGCCCAGCACTCTGCCCCTGCCCAGCACCCTGCCCCTGCCCACCACCCCTCCCCTGCCCAGCACCCTGCCCCGGCCCAGCACTCTGCCCCTGCCCAGCACCCTGCCCCTGCCCACCACCCCTCCCCTGCCCAGCACCCTGCCCCGGCCCAGCACTCTGCCCCTGCCCAGCACCCTGCCCCTGCCCACCACCCCTCCCCTGCCCAGCACCCTGCCCCGGCCCAGCACTCTGCCCCTGCCCAGCACCCTGCCCCTGCCTGGGCAGTTCTGCTCACAGGTGAGCACGGTGGGCATCAGGGCAGCGAACATGAGGAAGAGCATGGAGAAGAAGAGGCAGCCCGTGTTGTTAAAGACCTTGCTGGCGTCGTCTCCAATGTGCAGGTAGAGGAGGCCAATGAGCACACCAATCACCACGTGGGACACGAACCGCAGGTGGGTCAGGACCTGTGGACAAGGTCATCGCTAGGAGTGGGTGGTCAGGGGCTGGGACAGGCAGCCGTGCTGGGGCAGGAGTGCAGAGCTGCCCTCCCCGCACAGGGGTCCCGAGGGCACTGCTAGGATCCTGTGCCCACAAGGCTCGGCCTGCGCTAGCCTCCTCTCCCCCCGCCCCCCGACGCCTCACCGTGTCCCTGAGGATGGACAGGAAGGTCCTCCTGAAGAGGATGCAGAACTGAGTGAGAGTGCTGGTGGCAAAGCTGTGGCTCTCGATGGGGTCCACTTCCTGGGGAGAGGAAATTGGGTCCAGTGACCACCAACACCCCCCCCCCCCCCCCCCC